AGGGGACATGCCTATGAGAAGAGGCCTGGACAGCCGTCTACGGGGCACAGCTCGACTGTGCTACCCCACGGGGCATTTAGCCTTGGTTTGTTGTTGCCATTATAAAAAATTTTGGGTTTTATTAAAAACAAAAACAAAATTTTTGCTAAAAAAGTTTTTGTTTAAGAAATTGCCCCCTACACTAATAGCAATGAAACGCGACTAGTTTCGACTTGTGGTAGTCATTCGTCAGGTTCTCTCTAATATTTACAGCCGTGAAAAAACGGTGCTCTTCAGCGCTGTTCTCTTCCTCCACAATTTAAAGGTACGCGGCCTCATACGCGCAAGAATTCCCCCCCCACACCCTCGCCCCTCAGCCTCACCCAGCCAATGGTCGCACCTCCACGCCAGGCCACACGCCCATGGCAGGCGTACTCGCTACTCCACGTGCCAGCACGTCAAACTCACACACCGGTCTTACCCTTCCCTTCCCCCCATCCGAGAAATACATCACGGCCATTCCTTCACATGCCCATCTCACGAACCTCATCTACGAGAATCTGCTGTGCGCCAAAGCCCGCGGCCAGATGACATAGGCGAGACACAGCCACCCGCTAAACTCAAAGATCGCATAGTTGAAATCACCTACCGTGGACATTACCAACGAGACATGGAGCCAGACCCGTCAGTGCTCATTTTAACGCGACAACCACACACGCCAGCCGGGATTTTCAGGTGGCAGGGCGCCATTGAAAAAATATTCTCGGACCCCCCCGAACATCCACGCACGATCCGCCCAACAGAAAAAAAACAGAAGGAAGCCTATTTGATCCACAATATAAACAACCACTCCAACCGATACCGGACTCAACTACGGCCGTCGAACATACCGGGATGGATAGAAGACTATCACAGTAACCCTGCCCAACATGGAATCAAAGTGAGGCTATCCCTAGCCAGACGACCCCAAGCGGTAGCGAGCATTTCGTATTCACTTTTTAAACACACTTATATATATATATATAATATAATATATATATACTGCAATATATTTATCAAGATAAATTAGATATTTGTAAAGGCAGTTGTTGCTGCAAGCCTGAGGAGGTGTGTTTTTCGAATGCTCTCAAAATACAATATTTTTACACTATTATTCTATTTTGTATATTAATATTTTTCCATATATGTATGCTATGTAGAATGCTTCCATTTACATACGTATATTGAAAAACATTAATGATAAAAATAGAAGATGTCATATTGGTATTTTATTGAGCTTTCGAACAAACACATGTCTCTCCTAACGTTTCACAACACCCAGCATTTACAATACTCTATTTATTTCTCAAGAATATATAATATATGATCTGCCATTTTTATTTACATCGTTTGGTGTAGATACATTCTCTTTTTCTCAGAAACTGTTGGCCTTTTCTACGATACAGAAAACTGCCTTTCAAGCCAAGATTTTCACCGGACAACGATTCTGAATGACAGAACGTCGACCTATATTCCAACATCCATAGCGGAGGATACTCGCGGAAGAAAATTAAAAAAGCAACGGAAATTTGGGCGTACGTAAAAAAAATCATTAAAATGTTCACACAGGGAAGTAAAAAATCAAGTAGAGTAGTTAGGTGACGTGCGCGTTTTATACGCGCCGACTACCTCCTGAATCTTTTGTCGTATACGTAAGAAGAAGCGCCAACAAGATTCGCCGCGACTTTGACGGTAGAAAGCACAGGTGCGAGGAATTTCTATTTAAAACTCTCGGAGCCGACTCTACAAAAGCCCGCCCCTTTGAAACTCAACGACTGCGTTTTAATGGCGTGGGTAAAGTCTCTTTTGATTTTTATATTGCCAACGCGCACCCCCGTTTCCGTTATCCGCGCGGACGTGCAACAGGCACCGCCTGTTAGACCTGCACATCGAGTATACCGTCTTAACACGCTTACCGATATGCAACCAAAATTTACTGGTTAGAATCGGCAGGACATACTAGGATGTTTCGTGTGGGGCTGTTTAGTATATATTATATTATTGTATATATATAGATTAGATAGATAAATAAGAAATAGCATAGATAGATAGCAGATAGATAGATGCCGTAGATAGATAGATGACGTAGATAGATAGATGCGCCTATATTAGATGCAATAGATAGATAGATAGAATAGATAGAATAGATAGATGGATAGATAGAGAGATAATCAGATAGATAGATAGATAGATAGAGTTTGATAGATAGATAGATAGATAGCATAGATAGATAGAGATAGATAGATGGACATACGGTAGATAGATAGATAAATAGATAGATAGATTAGATAAGATAGATAGATGCGGCATAGGTAGATAGCATAATATATAGATAGATAGATTAGTAGAATATTATAGATAGGATAGATAGATAAAGTAGATAGAATAGATAGATAGATAGATAGGAAAGAGTATAGATAGATAGAAGATAGATACGATGCTCGTAGATAGATAGATAGATAGATAAATAAGATAAAATAGATAAGATAGATAGATAGCATAGAACTAGATAGACTTAGATAGATAGACATAGCATAGATAAATAAGATAGATAGCATAGATAGATAGATGGATAGGTAGATAGATATATATACTATAGATAAGATAGAATATATAGGATGATAGATAGCTAGAATATAATAGATGCGTAGCCTAGATAGATAGATAGCATAGATAGATAAAATAGATAGAGATAAGCATTAGATAGCATAAGATAGATAGATAGATAGATAGATAGATAGATAGATAGATGATAGAATAGATAGATAGGTAGATAGAGTAGATAGATAGATTTAGATAGATAGATAGATAGATAGATAGATAGATAGATAGATAGATAGATAGATAGATAGATAGATAGATAGATAGATAGATAGATAGATAGATAGATACATAGATTGGTAGATAGCGAGATAGATGTATGGATGGATAGAGAGAGGGGAGAAGAGAGAACGAGAGAGAAAAAGAGCGAGAGAGCGAGAAAGAAAAACAGAGAAAATAATCTGATTGAAAGAACTTATATTAACATTATTCTTATATTATCTAGGAGTTAATTATCAGCAGATATGCTAACCTGATCCTACTACGCCCCTCGCAGCTGCCGCACGATTGTCATCATAACGTAACCGCTGCTTGTGATCTAGCGTCTGTTGTTGTTATAATTTATACATTGAATCTCGATCAACGTGGCAGCGAACAAAGTTCTGCAGCGTCAGTAATAACACGTCTTCATCACTAGCATCAGCGTCTTTTCCGCTCACCAGTCTCTCTGCCTCTCCCACTTCGCCACTCTTTACCTCAGCAGGTTTTCCACGGCTTCTTCTGTCCTCGACCAGTGTCCATCACAAGCTTCAGTTACCACCGTCACCACTCTTTCTCTCTCGTTCTCTCCCCCTCACTCTTCTCCACCAGTATCTCTAGCCAACGCTCACTAGCCACTCTCTAGTGTCGGCACCGCATCTTGCGCCCTCCCTCTCTCTCGCGGCGACGAACACGACGGAAACTTCGATAATTATTACAACTTCAATTACACATCGAGGATTAGATTCGTGCGCGATGCGTGTCTGCTGTCAGCTCGCATGAGGAGGCTGAGAAGCACGCTCCGCATCACTCACTCACCGCAGGCTCGCGGCTCCGCACATACGCCGCCTCGATGCGTGTCTGCTGCTTACTCTCGCTCGTGCGCGCGCGCGTCTGCCGCCCCACACCGCGCCCGCATGCCCGCCTGCTGGCATCCGCACGCCACCGCGCGTCCTGCGCCGCCACACCACGGCGGTGACGATGACGATGACGGCAGCGGCGGTGACGATAACGATAACGACAGCGGTGACGACGATGACGATGAAAACAGCGGCGGCGATGATGACGATGAAACCAGCGGCTGTGACGATGGCGATGGCGACAGCGGCGGCGATAATGACGATGAAACTAGCGGCTGTGACGATGACGATGACGATGATGACAGCGGCCGCGACGATGACGATGGCAAGTGAGGCGTGTGCGAGAAGCGGCGGCACTTATATCGCACAAGACGGTGTCATCGTCGGCTGCGCGTCAGCAGTGACGTCATTGTAGATCGATGTCGACGATGGTCTTCTGTTCCGATCTTTGCGTCGCCACGCCGATGTTATGCGTTGATTAATTAATTAGTTAATTAACGGGTTTGATTCATTCCCTAGCTCCTTGTTCATCGATGGCTCGTTTGCATTCACTAAACGTTTGTTAGGCAAATCGCGCTCTGGCTGCAGCGCTAACGTCGGTGTTAACTCAACCCTGATCCGTCGGCATGAAGAAGTCATGAATGATTTCTTAAACGAAACAGAAATACGACAAATTACATTTGCTGACTATAATGTAATGCGCGAAAATTGCGCTTTTCTTCCTCCGAGATATCACAGATGCACAAAGCTTTCTAAACAGTGTTTATTATAGGCAATTCTAAACGTTTTTTAAATGCAATACTTCACAAAGTCCCTTTAAATACGTTACTTTCTAAACATATCTAAATAACATAACATCTAACATTCTTTAAATATAACACCTACACTATGTCATACATAAAACCTTCACCTAATCGTATCTTCAAAATAAATTGAGCGGCAATTGAATTACCGGCTGCATATTTTAATACACCCCACGCCCCTCAATGATATTTTACCAACGGTATCTTCATTTCCATCAAACCCGCCCCAGGTTCTCCCGGCATCCTCCTATAGACTCGCGTTATCATCGGTGAGACAGCCACCGTATCGGCAGTTTTCGCTTGTGAATTACTGACTCTCCCAACCACAACCCGAATCACTCATTATGCGTTGTGTACCGAACCCCGCTCGTAATCGAATTGTTTCAACAAACTAGCGGTGAGCGTGCGTATTAACTGATTGGAATATTAATCACAGAGCGACGATATAGAGCGTGGCGAGTGTATGTGTGTGTATGTGTGTGTATGTTCTCTTGCACACTAAAATACTAATAAAGCTTACCTTCCGCTGAGAACGACCAGTAGACATACGGCCATAGTGCGCGCACCCACGTGCAATCTCCTAGCATGCCGCGCACAATCGCAGCTTGCTCCAGCGCTGTCCATCCTTCCTTCAGCCATTTGTCGAAAAGGGCTTAAAAAAAGTGCTTGAAAAAGTGCTTGAATCGATGACGTAATCACTACTTCGACGGTAGCGCGAGAGAGCGGAGGGACTGACCACACACGCGCTCACACCTCCGCGTCTCCTCCTTGGTCCTTAAACATCACTGAAGCCGGGAAGCCATCGATCACGGCGTACAGCGCATATGTTTGAGTGTTTGTCTCTGGGAGGCTGAAGATGAGGAGCGATGATGTCGCTGCTGCTCAGGTTAGAGGCGTAGTCATGCGAATGCATCACCGAAAATCCTATAAACGAATAAAATATTTCAGCTTCTTTAGTTTACTAGTTTAGTTCAGACGTTAAAGGATCGTCGTAGACTCCAGGAGGTTCACTTGCGTTGAGTAGTGATATACCTAGAATCTATATAAACAACACATGCATAAATTTACTAGAATGTTTCCATGATGAATCACGTGTAGCTACATAATAACAAGAGCGTATTAAGTATGATTGATAAAAAGTATTATAAAAGTAATAGTAACATAAGTTAATAAAAAAAAGTAATAATATAAATTGTTAAAAATAAATTGCGTGGCGCGGTGCACTCTTGTTCCGCGTGATGGTCACGATTGTATTTATGGTGAATCAGGGACTTTAAACACAATGACGAGACGCGAATAAAACGTGATATTTCATGAGCGCAATCGACACGACCGGATCAACACTGAATCCATATACCAAGTGTTTTGTTAATCGACATAGTTGGAGCTTTAATCGACATGAACGTGATATATATATCGCAACCGATCACATGCAGGCAGATTAGATAAATCACCTCCCACTCCGTCGACATCTTCACAATTGACCAAGGATCACATCAAGAGTCCATAATAAAGATTCTCATTTATGGACTTGATCACATGGACGTTTCATCTACACTATGCTACATTTATGACCTATATGAGGCACGCTCTGCTTAATCAAACCAATAAGAAAATCTGACGATACTACTACTACTGATAACAACAAGAAAGCTACCTCTTCTGTAAACTGCACTCTTTCTGAATTGCGCGAGCAACGCTTAATTAATAAGCAACTAGCTACTACAGCGGTCTACGCGGCATATTTACGCGGATAAATATCGTCTAGCTATGTATATACTGCACGTATAGATCTAGCTGTGTGCTGGCATGCTGCGTTAATAAGCAGATAGAATGGCCTCGTGCGTTTCCCCGTATTATAAGAGATACTCGACGGTCTGTGGTGATTAACAAAGTAGAAAAAATGGGGAAGAAGAGCGAAGAACTGCATTCGCCTAACGCATGTAGTAACAGTGTGTGTGCGAGACAGAGAGAAGTGTGGAAACGGAGAATATGGAGATAAAATAGAGAAAGAAAAAATACGAATGAGAGGGGCAGTGAGTGGGCGGAGAGGAGAGAAACCCACAGACAGAAAGACAGAGAGACAGAAAGACAGAGAGAGAGAGAGAGAGAGAAAGAGAGAGAAGAAGAGAGAGAGAGAAAGAGAGAGAGAGAGAGAGAGAGAGAGAAAGAAAGAAAGAAAGAGAGAGACATACAGAGATAGAGGGAAAGAGAGAGAGAGAGAGAGACCGAGAGAAAGAGAGAGAGAGAGAGAACAAGAGAAAGAGAGAGAACGAGAGAGAGAGAAAGAGAGAGAGAGACAGACAGACAGAGATAGAGGGGAGAGAGAGAGAGAGAGAGAGAGAGAGAGAGAAAGAGAAAGAGAGAGAAAGAGAGAGAGAGAGACAGACAGACAGAGATAGAGGGGAGAGAGAGAGAGAGAGAGAGAGAGAGAGAAAGAGAGAGAGAGAGAGAAAGAGAAGCGTTCAGAAGCTATCAACGTGATTAAGGAGAAGACTGCACGACTTCTGCCCGCAGTAATTCTCAATATTCGTGTTCCGTATCTCCCGCGTACGCATATATACTGTGAAAATGCCCCATCCACCCTCCCTCCTGTCCTCCACGTACGAGACATACATATGTGCCAGTACCGCACGCGAATTGTCTCTGCGTACATTCCCGTAACAGTTAGAAATGTAAGTATGACGTCGACGACACATGTGTGCGAAGTATGACGTCGGCAATTTCTGTGCGTAAAGCATGACGTCGACGGTTTTTGTGCCCGCAGCCGACGGTCCGCTGACGAATAATCGCCACTAAGAATCGAATCTCGATAATATCAGCAAACGGTTAAGATTTTACAACGACACGGCTCATCAATTATATTAATTCTAAAAATATATAATATATAAATTTACAATTACTCATTATACGTTGGTAATTAGGCGATCAAGAGCTCGGTACGTGCGCTTGTGTGCCAGCGGCGGACGAGTTAACGGCGTAGCAAACACGAGTCTCTAATCGCGGCAAAGATGGCGGAGATAGCAATTTCAATTGTCTGCCCCACAATTGAGATAATTCGACGCCCATCCTCGCTTGGAAGTTTTTGGAAGTTTTTTTTTCGGTGTCGGCAGATTGCCTGCTCGCTGGAAATCGTTGGCATCAGCGACGGTCGACGTCGCCGCGATGGCCTTATTCGGTTAGAGGGCATGCCTAGTAGCGAATGCGATTAGCTGCTCTCATCGATTCTGGAGATGTGCGTAACGAGGAAGGACACCATTGTGGTGTCGTAGCTCTGAAACTCTGAGTAGGGCAGAAAGAGGACGTAAAATTCCCAAAGAAGAAGAAAATGTAGCGGCAAGATAAAACTAACTCGCGCGAAAGATGAGACGGGGGACGGATGCCGTGGAAGGATAGCGGCAAGGGAAGGGTTTTATTGGGAGAGGATAAACGGTGTGAGAAGGGTTTCACTAAGAAAGGTGAACAGTAGAGGGATGGTTCCAAGTGTGTGGGGGGGAGGATTTTCAATTGCTGGCAAGCTCGTAGAAGTCGTACATTCCGTGTTGATAGAAGACCGATTGCGGTGACAAATTAAGGCACCTTTGACAAAACATACAACCTTGCGGAAGGCAGAAGGACAACAGATGGCAGCTAAGCAGTCTAAAACGGCGTAGGCGTTGTCACGGCGGCTGTTATGGATTGGAATATCGGGCCGAGTTCTGTCATTTCTAAATCGTTGTCGGATAAATCTTGGCTTGAGGGCAGTTCTGTATCGGAGGAAAACCAACAGTTCTGAGAAAAGGGAATGTATCTACACCAAAAAATGTAAATAAATATGCACATATAGAAGTAAGTATATATATGGCCGCATGCCCGCCTTGCTAGCTGCATCCGCACGCAACGCCGCGTCCTGCGCCGCACACCACGGCGGTGACGATGACGATGACGGGGCGCGGCGGGGACGATAACGATAACTGACAGCGGTGGCGACGATGACGATGAAAACAGCGGCGGCGATGATGACGATGAAACCAGCGGCTGTGACGATGGCGATGGCGACAGCGGCGGCGATAATGACGATGGAAACTAGCGGCTGTGACGATGACGATGACGATGATGACAGCGGCCGCGACGATGACGATGGCAAGTGAGGCGTGTGCGAGAAGGCGGCGGCACTTATATCGCCCACCAGACGGTGTCATCGTCGGCTGCGCGTCAGCGAGTGACGTCATTGTAGATCGATGTCGACGATGTCTTTCTGTTCCGATCTTTGCGTCGCGCCACGCCGATGTTATGCGTTGATTAATTAATTTTAGTTAATTAACGGTTTGATTCATTCCTAGCTCCTTGTTCATCGGATGGCCTCGTTTGCATTCACTAAAGCGTTTTGTTAGGCAATCGCGCTCTGTGCTGCAAGCGCTAGTCGGGGCTGTTAACTCAACCCTGATCCGTCGCGGCATGAAGAAGTCATGAAATGATTTCTTAAACGAAACAGAAATACGACAAAATTACATTTGCCTGACTATAATGTAATGCGCGAAAATTGCGCTTTTCTTCCTCCGCGATAATCACAAGATGCACAAAGCTTTCTAAACAGTGTGTTATTATAGGCAATTTCTAAACGTTTTTTAAATGCAATACTTCCAAAGTCCCTTTAAATACGTTAACTTTTCTAAACATACTCTATAACATAACATCTAACATTTCTTTAAATATAACCACCTACACTATGTCATACATGAAAACCTTCACCTAATCGTATCTTCAAAATAAATTGAGCGGCAAGTGAATTACCGGCTGCATATTTTAATACACCCCACGCCCCTCAATGATATTTTACCAACCGGTATCTTCATTTCCATCAAACCCGCCCAAGGTTCTCCGGCATCCTCCTATAGACTCGCGTTATCATCGGTGAGACAGCCACCGTAATCGCGCAGTGTTCGCTTGTGAATTACTGACTCTTCCCAACCACAACCCGATCACTCATTATGCGTTGTGCTACCGAACCTCCGCTCGTAATCGAATTGTTTCAACAAACTAGCGGTGAGCGTGCGTATTAACTGATTGAATATTAATCACAGAGCGGACGATATAGAGCTGTGCGAGCTAGTATGTGTGTGCTATGTGCTGTTAGTGTGTGTATGTGGTGTGTGTGTGTGTGTGTGTAGTGTGTGTGTGTGTGTGTGTGTTGATGTGTCTGTGTGTGTATGTGTGCGTGCGTGCGTTTATGAATCCGTGTACATTTATTTCGTGACGGGTTGTCTCTGTTTAAACAGCAAATTATATATATAGCGGTGCAGCAGTTCTGATGGTAGATGTAGATGTAGCACAAACTTATAGAAATATCTATGTCTAAAGATATCCACGCACACACACACAAGTTAAATAAATAAATAAATGAATAAATAAATAAATAAATAAATATATATATATATATAATACTTATATATAATTTGTATATAATCAACTAACTATATAGTGTAGCAAACTATATTGTTGTTAGAATAGATGCTGCCACGAGCAGGATGGCGTATCTGTCGATGGCGTATAATTATGCTCGTGACCACAGGTGTCAACGGCAAGAGTCATGCCGCATGCTCGCTGACCGGGCGCGTCGGTGTTCAGCGTATGTCGCAGCCCTATGTGTGGCGTCAAACCTATCGTTACATTTTGGTGCGTGACCAGAGAACTGTGGTACTATTATCATTATCATTAAATCCCCCCCTTTCACACTTTATTCATTTACAGTTTTTTGGTGCCGTGTCACGCTAGGACGCCACAATCAGATAAATTTGCGTGCTGCGCCGCGCACGCGTGGTTCATGTGGTGTGTGATGTGCTGTGTGTGTGTCGTGTGCCTGGGTGTGTGTGGCTGCGTGGCCGTGCGTGCGTTCGTGCCGTGCCAGTCGCGCTGCGTGCGTGCGTGCGTGCGTGGCGTGCGTGACGTTCGCGTCGCGTGCGTGCCGCAGTGCGTGCGCTGGCGTGGTGTTATTTGTGTTTGTAGCGTGTGTGCGTGC